CCTTTTCCTGCCATGGTTGTCTTTGGGTTTTCACTCCTCTGACACAGTTATCTTTGGGGTGAGGACGTCTCTCCACCCCAATCATAATCTAAATCTTTGACCTGTGCATAAACATAATTAAATTAAATCCGTCCAATTCTTAAGGGTTAAAAATGTCAAAACTGCCATTTTAGGGTCTCAGTCATGATCAAAGAACTTACATCAAGACCGGAAGCCCCATTCGAAGTTCTGAAAATGTTTCAGCCTTCTTTACATCCAAAACTTTTTAATGACACTAACAGGCCGACACAATATAATTATTGGTCTCCGATCACAAACATCTTTTACTTGCCTGCTAGGAAAATAAATCATCATAAGAACTATCCTCTCCCTCAACTTCCATGTCTTTCTGGAACATAAATCATAGAAAATAGGAAAAATCTCATCGTCCTCTTGGGTCCCCAGCTGCAGAGAGAGGGGAGCCACACCACCTGGACCACTGGATGACACTGAGAAGGAGCCCGCTCAGATGTGTCACAAAAATAAGTTTGTCCCACAGGCATTTCAGGCACCTCTTCTCCCAACCCCACAGAAATTAATGTAAACCAGAGGGAATATGGTATGTAAATAAATGATACTACGTATTGTTACAACACGGTTATTCTTTGAACAGGATTTTAATTGCATAGGTCCACTTATACATGGATTTTTTTCAATAAATACATTGGAAAAAATTTTGGAGATTTGTGACAATTTGAAAAAACTCACAGATGAACTATGTAGCCTAAAAATATTTTTAAAAATTTAAGAAAAATTAGGTATTTATCTATGAACTCATAAAATACATGTATTTTCTCTTCCTTATTATTCGCTTAATAACATTTTCTTTTCTCTAGCTTAGTTTATTGTAAGAATAGAGTATATAGTACATATAACATACAAAATGTGTGTTAATTCAGGGGTCCCTCTTAGGAACCGGGTCGCACAGCAGGAGGTGAGCAGAAGGCAAGCGAGCGAAGCTTCCTCTGTATCTGCAGCCACTCCCCAGAGCTAGCATCACCGCCTCAGCTCCACCTCAGGTCATCAGGCATTAGAGTCTCATAGGAGTACCGATGCCTGGTGCCAAAAAGGTTGGGGACCTCTGCGTTAATTGATTATATTACCAGTAATATTCTGGTCAATAGTACACTATTAGTAGTTAAGTTTTGGGAGAGTCCAGAGTTATATGTGGATTGTCATCTGCATGGGGGAGGAACGTCAATTGTAAAATATGACACTATGGCTGAATCATTAACACTGCCCTTTTCTTTAAAAAAAGCAGCATAACAAAATGTTGTGTAGACATTCAGAAGTCACCTTTTGTGGCATCATCTTGAAAATCAAAAAATTTCTTTCTGAAAGAAAGCTGTACATGCAGCCAAGAAATGTTTGTAAATATCAATGAATGTTCTCATAACAAGCATTTTATTAGGCATTGATTGATTAGGGGAACCAAATACATCCAAAATATTATTAATGATTAGTTTAAATGAGGCAATGACATCCAAGATAAAGTGGGCAAACATACTTTCAGACTTTTAAAGGAGGCAGATGTTCCATTTTCTTGCTAGAATTCTATAAACAAAGCTATAGTTTACCTCAGAGCAAGGACTTACATAAAATCACTAATGACTTTTTGCACTGTGAGTAATTTTTCTCTGTACTGTCCAGTTAATGTAGCAAGTCTAACTCATATAACATATTATATAGGAAGGACAACCCCCAAATGTTTGAAATCTAAAATAGGAGAGAATGGCATTTTAATCAGTGGTTCTCCTGCCAACTGTACAACATAAACTCCAATAAGCACACACTTTCCAAAAATATTCAAGGAGGAGGTAAGAACACAGAAAAGCCTACATAATAACCAATCATCCAAAAAAGGAAATGAAGTATTCCACATCTATAAAACTCTGTTTATACAACTAACTCTTTGCAACCTGCTGAATTTTTCAAAGAAGAGTAAGTTATAATTAGAATAATAAAAGAGTAGTACATACACATAAATGAATGTACATGCATACCCTGACTTTTGTCCATAAAGACTTTTATTAAAAGTATGAAAATCTGCCACTTTGACTTACATTAAAATATGGGAGTGGACTGGAGTACTACTATTACTAGCTGCCAGTGGCTCAACTCTCCCACACGCCTAATGCCGACCTGGACAGATACTGTTCTCAGTGCAGCTTTCAGAACCCAGTTCTAAGAGCAGCTCCTCAAAGAAGTCTGCACCCACCCCCAAGTCCACAGCCACGAGGACTCGGGGTGCATGGGGCTTCCCTTCTGTAATGTCTCAAACTGCAATTCAGCAATTCATTGTGTAAGTATACACGAGCATATACAAGTGTGAACATATGTATTCTTAGTTGTTTAGTATGTATAAGCTTTGTGAGGAGAGTTCCTATGTCTCCCTTGAATCATACATAGCGAATGTATATTGAATGGATAAATCGCAGTTACAGCTGCATCCACCTTAATCAAGACTAAGCCTGGCAAAATGAGGTCTTTCTGAAAGCTTTCCAAAAACAAGTCAGCTTTCCTCCCTGGAACAACAGTGCCCACATCCCTAAGGTGGCCCCAGCGACTTCCGTGTTCTTGGCCAAACATTTAGACATCGTGAGAACATTCCCCCCAGTCCTTTCTTTGTACGTACCCGCTGGCTGAAGTTAAACTCATTTGCTATTAATTATGGGCACCCTTCGAAGGGCTCAGGGAAACAATTCCTAACTAAAGTGATTTTCAATGGAATGTATAATGTAATATATCATAAACAAAAGAAAATTTAAGACAACTTTGGAACATTTGAAGTATAATAATGTAATCAACATTTCAATCACATTTGCCACTGTTTCATTTGAGGGACGTGGTACAAATCTCTCCAACATCTGTGAAATTTGTTTTTTTGCCAAGATAAGAGGAGGTGGCCTCACAGTGGCAGCTGGACACAGCCTCGTGTACCTGGGCACAGAGTGTGGGCACACCCTCAGCAGCAGGCGTTGGGGCTCCCTAATTGCGGGGACAACCATTGACAAGAATCCTTTCCTTCCCATCTTTTGGTGGCTTCTACCCCTTCTGACCACCTACGTTACTTTTTACTCGGTCTACTGTGAATAGCTTCTCCCCATCTCATGATTCGTTCTTACTCATGCTTTCTGCTTCTCCCAGCTTACCCTTACTCCTACTTCCTTCTTTCTCTTTCAGCTTTTAATAATACAACCAGTTAGTCAACTTGCTTTATGTTGCGAACTCGGGGATCCCTGATGTGGATGGGTTCAATCACCATCATCCCTGCTGAGCAGAGTTCTCGCGTTGTTTCCATTAGGGGGACCTGGGCAGTCTGTAGATCGGTCACTTCGATCCAGTCAGTTATAACCAGATTGTTGACATCAAGGGAGATAAAGTTAATTTGGCTTTGGATAGCAACCCTCTGGCTATCATGGATCGAGAACCGGAAACAAGTTCATTTAAAGGTAATCTAATCGAAATTTGGGATGCAGAAAAGTTCCTAATTTTTTTCAAGTGGAATAACCAGAGCTCAGAGTTGGCTCCTTCTTTATTTTAGTCTACTAGTTTCTTTCATGTTTGCTACTTAAAAAAAAAAAAAAAAAGTGAAAGGTAGCAAAGATCAAAATGTCATGGTAGAAATACAAAATCAGTAACTGGGTCCTCTGTTCTAATATTGACTTTTCACCCTTTAAATCTATTTTCTCATTCTATTTTTCATCAGAACTCTGCTGCTCCAAATACAAATATAATAGACAAAGGCCTGAGAATTTTGCTTAGAACTACAGAAAGTAGTTTAAGTCCTCCCTTGGACCATATCCGGTTTTCTGCCATCACAAAACTCTTATTCAATCCTGTTTAGGAGAAGCAGATTACATAGAGAAAGGAACAAAACTTTCCTTTTATCTACTTTTTAATTTATGATGTCTGAGTATTTTTGTAAAACGTTATTTTGGTCGACTTCTGGTGGTCACGTATGTCTTAAATTCCTATAAAAGTAACTTCACAAAATTTTAAGTTGGTCAAATTATAAGCATAGTATATTCTAAACCTAAATTATTTTAGTTTAGAAAAGAAATCTTGCTAAGTTATTTATTTCTCTGCGGCTTGGGTTCCAAAGAGTAAATTTATTATTGTGGAGAGGAAAAAATTCTTAGAGAGAGAAAAAGAGTTAAATTCTTCAAATAAGTAAATGAACAAATAAGTGAGCTGTTTTGTAATTGAAATAGCATCATTATATTTGATGATTACTATCACAAATATTCATTTCATACTTTTGGAATATAAAAAAAAACCAAACAGAAAATTCAAGATTAAAAAGAAGTGTTTATTCTAGGAGCAAGTGTCCTAAATGTATAATCTGCAAAGTTTATCAGTTTATAATTAGGAGAATTTATGTGCTATCAAAGAGGTACTTCTATAAAAATAATACAATAAGGCTGGCTAAGGTCTTAGTCTCAATAGATTCGCATGAGGATAAAAATAGGGACTAAATCACTTTTTCCAACTATGGAAAAATTAGAAAAGCAATTATGTTCTATGATAAATGAGCCATTCTTAGCTGAGAAATCAGAGCATCTTCTCATTTCATGTACTTAATTTGTGCATTTTCCGTTACTGCTGCAAGCTGTTTCTTTCATCTCGCAAATTCAAGAAAATTATAGTTGTACTATTGAGGACATATGAAGAATTTCATCTCGAAAGAAGTGAACTACAAAGACATATTGTTGTAGTACTTTGATATGAAATCAGAAAAATTCTGAACTTTAAAAATCATAATATTGTTACCATTTAAAACTAAGTCTATTCGGGGGAGGAAGCCATATTTTGAATAACTCATCAGTGTAAGTGCACTAAACCCAACATATACCTTTGTTGAGATTTGATGTGAGTTGTCATGATAAACCTAATATCCAGAATATTATCAGTGACCCCATGCTCCAAGAAACCAAGGTGAGAACCAAGAAGTGGAACCATTTTGTTATATCCTGCATTTATTTAAGCAAACCGAATGTGTAGAGATAGGAAATTAAAGCGTTATCATGTTTTACAAATACAGAAAGAAGACACAGAATAATAAGACCCTGAAAAAAGTGCATGTGAAAACGCAGTTCTGTCATAGGAGAACATTTGCAGTGACCACACTGAAGCCATGGCCGACACATCCACCCATCATTCTTGTTATGACATCGTTCAAGTAGTTTTAATAGATAAATCAGTGATTTACTTTTAAACAAATAATAATACCAATGATTATGGTAGCCTCGAAGGATTCGTGAGTGACTGTACTGTACATACGTGATGGTAGGCTCAATGCCACTGTACATTATGCAGGGGGAAATATGTCTTATTACACGATTGCTGTGACATCCACTAAAATGTGAACTAGTTTGCATAGGTTAGTCCTTTGGGCAGCACGATGTTGCTCTAGTCCACCAAGGCTTAAAGATTCACAGTGTAGAGGAAAAAAATATGAATTAAAGCATTTCTACTAAAATATATTTTAATAGCTGGTGTTAACAATTTGCATAACAAAAGCCAAATTATATTAGTAACATTGTGTCATTCTCTAAGTCCCTTCAATTTAAAAAACATTGTTTCCTTCAAAACTATACCTCTCAAAGTTAGAAGAATCTTGCAAATTAATCATCAACCACAATTCTACATATTTCGAAGCAAACAGAAGCCAAACTGCACGATGACTCGATTTTGCATAATCACAGGTCAAAGGCTAACAGTTCCACGCTATGCTTGTATCACACTTATTGCTGCTTCTAAATGCTAAGCTGCTCATCATGTGGACACCAAAATATGGGGCTATGGTGCAGATTTCTCTTTTCTTTTAAGTAAATCATTCTTAATAGCAACTGGATTACAGAGAAGTATATACTACGCAAACTGGATACCATATATCAAACACAAAAAGCATATGGAATTCCCATGAATACACTAAAGTAAGATGGACAATTGGGGAGGAAATTTGCCCTGGGAATCCCTTCCAGGATTGTGGATTCCAGGAGTTTAAACATCAGAGAATGACGGCCACAGTAGCATCATACAATGCCTTTTTTTTTTTTTTTTTTTTTTTTTGATCAGCAAAAGTTGATGGCTGCCTGGAAAGGACCCCAGTGGGCATGGAATACTTGAGAAGGGCATCTTCATTTTAGCATTCAATTATATAGCTTCTTACTTAACTAAAGCTTTCTCACCTCCATGTCACGATACCCAAAACAAGCGCACTCCAGCCACTTTCAGATTATCAGCAGCAAAGAGCTAAAGTATCACGAACTTATGAAATGAATTTCATCTTGTGCAATGAATGCAGCCTTGTAACATAAACCTTCTATCTTTTTCTTTCCTATGTTTTAAATTAATTAATTTATTTTTTATGGTGACATTGGTTAACGAAATCCAGTGTTTCAGGATAAATCTTCTATCTTACAATAGGTATTTTATTTTAAATCTCAGATCTAAAGTCAATGTTTACGCATCTCAACTATATATAAATCCACAGAGAACCTTTCAGAAATAGATGGGAGTCAGTACTTTCTAAAGTTCTAAACCTTTAGAGGTAAAATACAATCAGCTATCACTTTGTACACCTGTCAGGAGCTAATCTCGTTTCTCCACCACAAAAATACCAATCATGTATAATAAAATATTACTATAGAACAGGCAGAAGTTTGCTTGTTTGATTTTCTTTCCAACACCATGGTGGATAAACCAGGGTATCAAAAAGGCACCTATTTCTTTATATATCTATATTGTAATTTTGGTATAAACTATATCCACTTTCTATAGGGATGTGTTATTAAAGGATCCCACATATTTTCTTTATCTTTTCACTAAAAACAGTCCTCTGGAGAAGGATAAACCTGCAAAAGAGATGCACCTCCTGAACTTCCACTGTTTTAGAAAATCTGGCTCTTTGACCACTAGCTCAACATGGAGAGAGAGGATAAGGAAAGAAACACTTTGGGGAACACTGTCAAAACCGCATCTTCATCCTCTTTGAGCAATGAACCTAGCGGCATGAGAGGGGCTGCTCTAGTCTCATCCATCTTCATACAAGGTGCTCTTTGAAATTGTGCTTGCAAATTCCTGTGTGGTGTCTGGAGGTGGGAGGGGAGGCATGAGAAGATGCAGGGACATCTGACAATCAGATACATATTTCAAAGCAGGCTACACTGCGGATGTGTAAACAGTAACAAGAACACATGAAGAAGTTGTTTTGCCACAGGTGAGAGATAGAAAGCTTTCCTAGAGACAAAGAATTAGTAAAAACGTTTACTACAAAACCTTACAACAAAAGCATTATATTCTGTTGCTATGCTTTTCTCCAGAAAGATATGATCCACATACAGTTTTGTTTTCGAAACCTTTAAAAGCATATCAAACTGCTCCTTGTGCTTTTATCGGGCTGGAGAACACATCAAATTTATAAAAGCAGGTGCATGCTCTCTGTAAAGTCTACTTAAACTTGATTTTTAAAAGACATGTTTGTTAAACCCTTCTTTAACTGTCAGTGTAAAGTATGAGACATCTGTTGGGAAATTAAAGGGGGGGTGGTGGCGTGTGGAAAGAGGCAAAGTTGTTCAAGAATGTAATTTTGAAAATGCTGCTGTCAAAATAGCACTTTGGTATTATACATATATGTTTCCTGTATTTCTGCTGAGATGGTTATTATCCTGACAAATTTTAGAAACAATAACAATCCTATCCAATTATAGTGTCAGGAACATGTAACATCCTGTTCTACCTCAGTCTTTATTGTAAAACAACTTCCCTCTAGTTAAATTCTGATCAGATCTTAATTCCTAAAGACTGGAAGCAGAAACACCTAGCTATGCAAACACTGTGTAAAGCTTAAAATCTTAGGAGAATTATTCCCCAAATAAGTATGACTTTTACATTCAATGAATCTGATTTTCTCATTTTGAAATCTGTGGATGAGAGAACCAATGAAACATCAAGCTGCTACTTTATGGTAACTTTCCCCATTAAAATCATTTTAAGTTAGTTTTCTTTGAGCTTCTATAAATGTGCTAGCTATCAAAAATTGTACCTGTCCTACATTTATGTCTGCAATTTAATCAAAAACTATTCCTTTTTATAATCATGAAAAGAGTTCTGTCTGGGTGAAACGTAAATGTTTACTTAATGATATCATAAAATTGAGTCAACTTATTTCCCATAGTTTTAATACACAGAAAATTTTGCAAGAATATTGCAAGATCGGCTTGTGTTTGTAGGTTTGTGTACAAGACATTAAAACTGACATGGGGTTTAATCCATTTAATCATGACTGGTCATTTCAATGATAGAAAATCAGTCAAGCTGGTTATTTAGTAATCTGTAAAGCCCCCTCAAAAAAATCTGTAGTAATATTCCTACATTTTTTCTTTTTAATTTTTAAAAAATTTTCAGTTACAGCTAACATACTGAGCTTTCTCTTTTCAATTTATGTCTGTCATGTAAATGCAGCTTACGCGTAATAAACTTTACTTAATACACTTTTAACTGAGTAAAATGATTTTCAAAAGTATTTGCTAAATTTTCAAAGGTGTAAATGAACTAACATTTGCCTTTGGACTAATAAGCATTTCAATAAACGATATCTTACAGGATATTTTGTTAATTTCTTTGACTGTATCACATCAGGTAGATATCCCCAAGACCCATACATTATTACAGTTTTATAACTTTGTTTTTTTTTAGGTTCACCACAACTGTAGAGTCAGACCTTGCTTAAATGCTACCCTGTTGCAGTCTCCAATAACTGGCACAATCAGAAAAACAAAGTTGCTGATAGACAGTAATTTCTCGTGATCTTGACCGTGAACTCCAGGTGAAATTTAATGACCCGTCAGCAATGGCTGCAGTCATGGCTGTGAATCCAGCAAGAAACCTCAAGGTCCCTCATTTGGAAATCAAAATCTGACAGTTCCTTTTCTAGTGGGTTTATACCTAAAATCTCTGATGACATTTCTAGCTCACCTTCTGAATGTGATCTGGAAAATAAAAAGCAGAAAGTAGAAAGGAAGTCTTTTCATTAACTGGCTTCAGTGGCTAGATTTCCACTCCAGAATCTGAATACCATTTTCCAAAATAAGAAACCAGATCAGCTCCTTCTCTCTATGTGAAGTTGGTAACTTTTCTTTGCTGGTTTTCTCCAGCACACTTCATATTCCACTTTGTCACTGGCTTGTGTGAAGTTTTCTTAACTTTTAAATCAAGAGCGGCATTAAGTTAATGAAAGCTGTTCAGTAAACACCTAAATCACTTATTTACTAGAGTATACGACTATTTCCTAAGGTGCAAATCCTTCGAAACTAGAGTGCGATGCAGCAGGAGAATCTCAAGCAACTTTTCAAAATATGTTTTTCTGATGAGCTGGCAACTAGAAGAAAGGCTTTTATATACCAGCCACACTCTCTGCTTTAATCACAGGGATGGGCGGGACAGCTGCCTATGTTACAGAAGCTTGAACCTACATGTCATGCAACAGGGTAAGGGTGATTAGGAAATAATAGAGATGGACTTAAGTTTGCCCTCTGCAGAGTAGCTGTGAAGTCATTTGGTTCTGACAGGCTATGGAGCCAAGCATACACTTGGGTCCACAGAATGTAAATGGGGAGTAGGATGTGCCTTGGTACAAATGAGAAATAAAGAGAACCAAGTTGGCCAAGGAAACAAAAACTTTTCTTTGTTCAACAGAAGTTTCCAGGTCCCTAAGGCCACCAGTCAATTTAATTTGAACCAAACTATTATTCTGCCACTGCTTGCATTTATTATATTAGGCAATTTTCACTGGAATTGGAAACTGCCTAATGACTCCAAAACTAAACAGTTTTTAAATTATTGGCTGTGTTACTGAATTAAGAGAACTGGCTTCTGGTGATTCCAAAGTGACAGCTAAGAAGTCTCATATACTTGTTACATTTACGGGACAATCAACATCTCTATTAAAGTCTACAAAAATACATTTCCCAGAAGGATTCAATAGCCAATCAAAAGAAACCAATAACACAATTAGCAGCACCAGGTCTCCAGACCTAATTATTCTGTTTGTAGGAATTACTGAAAACGCTGCTCTCTTCAGCCCAGAAGTCATTCCTTCTTCCTGGTGCCTGTGTGTCTAATTGTCAGAGTAAGGATAGATTATTGTAAAATAACTGCCAAGTTGTCTTAAAAGTAGCTTCTATCTCTTAAAAAGATTAGGTTTAGAATACATTAGAATAGAGCTCAAAGGGCCAGGAGAAAGAATTAATTAACAAACTCGATGTAATTCGCGGGGAGCATGCCCGTTTTCCCGGTTCTCTGCACTGTGCCGTACATCCACCCGTCATCGATGGGCTGCACATTGACGATGTAGTCGCCATCCCTGAAGGAGACCTCATCTTCATCCTGGGCACTGTAATCGTACATGGCTCGGTAGGTCCTCTGAGAAAGGAGAGACGGGGTCACACGATGAATACCAAAACAGTCACAGCCACAAATGGCAGTCCCAACAAACCAACCCGCACACAAAGTAAAACTATTAGGAATGTTGCCGAGTACATTTATTTCTGGAGATCTAGAAACCAGAGCCTGCTGTCCTAACTCTGCTCATGTTAAGTTTACTAGACGAGCAAAAAAGAATAATATTTGGGGGCAGAACAGGGATAGAGCAAACCGCTCAATACAATCTATCCTTAGCCCATCAAAAAGGAAGCTCTGAAGAGTAAAGCTCAACTGCCCCTAGTTTCAGCTTAGATTGCATAGTTTCTCCCCTGGTCCCCAGGATTCAGAGAACAAAACCTGCCATAGTGGCAGACAGATCCAAGTCACTGCAACTGGTCCCCTGGCACAGGCAATTAACTGTTCTTAAACAGGTATTAAGAATTGTTGTTATCTCTTACAAATATATAAAACAAATAAAAGGGAAAAAATCAATAACGTACTCATTTTATTGGTTTTTGTATCAGAGTCGTAGAAATTTAGCATGTAAATATTCTAAATATTAAGGTAAATATAACTAAATCTTTGATGAAGGAAATGTTTGCTTCCTGACTTCAAACTACATTACAAAGCTATAGTCATCAAAACAGTAGGGTACTGGCATAAAAACAGACACGTAAATCAATGGAACAAAATAGCCCAGAAATAAACCCATGCATATACGGTCAACTAATTTATGACAAAGGAGCCAAGAATATACAATGGGGAAAGGATAATCTCTTCTTCAGTAGATAGTGTTGGGAACACTGGACAGCCACATGCAAAAGAATGAAACGGGACCTCCGTTTACACCATACACAAAAGTTAAGTCAAAATGGATGGAAGATTTGAATGTACAACCTGAAACCATAAAACTCCTACAAGAAAACATAGGCAATAAGCTCCCTGATTTTGGTCTTGGTGATGGTTTTTGGATTCAACACCAAAAGCAAAGGCAACAAAAGCAAAAATAAACAAGTGAGACTACATCAAACTAAAAAGCTTCTGCACAGCAAAGAAAACCATCAACAAGATGAAAAGGCGACTTACCTAATGAGAGAAAATATTTGCAAATCATATATTTGATAAGGGATTATTATTGAAAATATAAATTGAAGTTTACTATACTTGTTTTCATTTAAGGCCAAGAGTTTAGCTAATATGAACATCAGACAATCTCAAAATCAATTGAACTTATAAACTGAGGAAATTGACTGAGACATAAGGATTTTAGAGTGACTAAAGATAACTTTCAAATTGTTGAGGTGGGGAGTGGCACCTGTTTCTGAGTTCTCAGGCAGAGGCCAAGTGACTATGTCAGGAGCTTGGAGAAGGAATTTCAGCATGAGATGGCGCATTTAACTAAATGACCTGGAATACCACTTCCAAACTTTACATTTAATGAATCAATACTTCAAGATTTCCAACAAGAGAGTTCAAAGACATGTTGGTTCTGTCATTTAGGTTTTAGTGACCACTCTGATTAATGTCAAGGTTAACCAGTTAATATGACCAAATATTTGTGCTTAACACACCTGAATGAAGATCATAATTAGCTAATACTGATCACAAAGTTAACAATTAGGATATTGAACTGGTAGATTCTTTGTGTTTTATTGTTTACATGTTTTCACATCACACATTCCTTTCTCAGTGGTTTTTCTCTATAAGTCTTTAGCTTCCTTCAAAAAGGTTGTACAAATGGAAGCATATCATTTACCCTTTATATGAAAATGTGCATGTCCATCAACTGATGAATTGATAAAGATGTGGTCCATACATATATAATAGAATATTAGTCATCCACAAAAAGGATGAAATCTTGCCATTTGCAACATGAATGAGCCTAGAGGGTATTACGCTAAGTGAAATAAGTCAGAGAGAGACAAAGACCATATGATTTCACTTTTTTGTGGAATATAGGAAGACAAATTAAATGAACAAACAAACAAAACAAAACAGATTCATAGATAGAACAAACTGATGGTGGCCAGGGGTGGGCGAGAAGTAGGAGGAATGGGCGAAAAAGGTAAAGGGTAATAAGAGGCACAAATTTCCAACTATAAAATAAGTCAAGGAGATGTAATGTAAAGGACAGGGAATATAGTCGATAATATCATAATAACTTCATATGGTGACAGATGGTTACTAGACTTATTGTGGTGATCATAAGTAAGATACGTAAATGTCACATCGCTATGTTGTACCTGGAACTAATGTAATATTGTATGTCATCTAGACATTAATCAGTAGCAAATTTTAAAATGTAAAATAAATAAAAATAAATAAATAAATAAAAGTCATTTTAGCATCGAAAAAAAGAAAATGTGCCATATTCAGTTCGACTCTATTCCACGTGCATTTCTATTTTGGAGATGAAATGGGAAGACCAGGAGAGAAGACCATTTCAAATCGACACTTACTAGATTCTGGGAATGCTGCATTGACCTCATGGATGAAAGGCTGGTCTGGTGCATGTACCCATAGCCTTGGGAATGGCTTTGCTGGTAGGCTCCAGGAAGAACAGGTGCTGCACATGAAATACACACATAGATTCCTTAAAGCAGGTCTCAAAATACCCCTCCCGACCCCTCAAATGACTTCTTGCTCTTCTGGAATCTTCTGAAACAAAATCCCATTTTTGGTGTCATGTGAAATTTGAGTATTGATGTTATAAGTAACCTCTAGATTAGTATAAATTTCAGTAATTAGGACAAATATAGGGAATCAGTTGAACATGCAGTCAAAATATATTAGAAATATCTGTATTACTCTACTACAGATGCTATGTTAAAATAACACAAGTGCAAAGATAAATTTCCCGTAGTCCCTTAACAAAATCATGTTTTCACTTGGCCATGGTGATCCTCACAGTCATTAAAAAAAAGGATATTTAAAGGAATTTCATTGGATTGTCAAACCAAAGACAGAGTGTAAATGCTTTCACTGGATACTTCAGAAATAATGGGATGTTCTAAATATTTTAAGACATAGAGCTGAATGTTACTTTTACAAAGATGGTAAACATAGCAAATATTTAGCAATGTGTGTTTATCAGTTAATAGCAGGTCTACATCCTTAAAATAAACCTTTACTTACAACATACGAATTCCCAATTTTATTTTGGCTATAAGTCAAGACTAAATTAATCAGCTGCGTATGTTACAAAAGACTGAGAAAACCAACCACTTAAGGAATTTCAGAAACATATTCTTCTACATCAAAAAAAAAAATAGTATCAAAATAGTATTCACTTAGTTTGTGCTGTTCTCACCACTAATTTTGACATTCGAAAGACGTAGTTCCTATTTGGAAGAACACTGAATCCTAAAGAAACCAACACAGAAGCTAGATAAAAACCACAAAGTCAGTTGATCAGCTTGTGTGTTTCTCTATAAGTATATTTAAGAACTGGTAAGTAGAAGCTTGGGCTTTAAATGAGGATATTTTAGTAGTATGTCCTTCATTATGTTTTGAATTAATTAAATGATACATTAGTAAAACTTGCATGATACACATGCTATAAAAATCCAGAATAGTTGCCATTTTTTTTTGCATATATGAAGAAATTATCATGGGTTGATTTATTCGGGGCAGTTTTTATAGTAAAAGAATAAAGCAGATGTAATTCCTGAGTATTATGAATAATTAATGTTTTATAAGTGGCACATTCATTCTAATGATATATGAGAACATCAAACTTTAAAGAAGTTTAATCATCAGAAAATTACAAATCATTAATGTGTTCTCCAGATGATAATGATGTTATGTTAAAGTGCATTTTTTTTTTACTAGGTCTTGAATTAATTCATATTACAATGTTGTTACGAGTTGTGTTGATTTAATGTCTAGATGTGGCATCAAAGAGAAATTGCCAAGATCCTAACTTGGATTCGTAGTACATTATAAAGTTATTAAAACATTACACATCAAATACTTCAGAAAAATCATACTTTTTAACATTCTCAACTCAGTTTAAATATTTAATGTCAAGAGATGTCAAGGATATTGTCAAAATTCACTCATGAAGAAAAAAATAATGAAATCCCCATGAATATCTGAGCTCACTTAATCAGCCGAGTAAAAGGGCCTTTTCTGTGTTGGAAGCTGGAAGCACTGACCATTTATTCATTCCCTTGACTTTCAGCAAATATTTATTAAGTGACTTCATGTGTGCATAGGGTGTACCCCACTGCCTGTCATTTAGTAAACCTCTCTAAATGTTGACAATTATCGCCGTCCACTGTGTTCAATGCTTGCCAGGCAGAAGAAAAGTGACAAAAACAACTGCCCTCTCAGGACAGTGATGGCCCTGGACATTGGCTGTTAAAAAATGGCTCTGGATACTTAGGGCTTTTCCAGTTAAATACATTAGTCAGTGATTCCAACTGCATGTTCCAGATTGGCACTCCTGAACTGGTTTTTAATCCATTAAACAAGTCATTTTATTAATTATTATTTTAATGTATTCATAAATACTAAGTAAAATTAAGTAAATAACCCTGTAAACTTACTTAAAGTTAAACTTTTAATCCTTCGTTACACTATTTAACTATGACCTTTGATGTACAGGGTTAAACACAACCATTTTAAAATATTTTGGGGGGGAAAAACTAACAAGAAAGGACAACAGTGAAAAAAATTTTAAATTTGCTATCTCCTATGATGTAATATGTTTACATTTACATAGTTTGTACATCATACCCCTAGTCTAGTGCCCAGAAGTACTGATGATTCAAGAATTTTTTAACAGTGTTCTCTAATTTTTGCATTTAAATATCAAGTATATTCACATCTACTTGATAACTCAAGTTTGACCTTCAAAGGGAATCTGTAGGTATTATCAAATACAGTGGGAAACAAAAGTAATATATTTGTCTAAATTTGTGTGTGTTTGAGAGAGCAGGATTATATGCTAAGAATGAGAAACCTTGGAGCAAACATCATCTATCTAGTCCTACGGTTTTTCTTCATGTCTCTGTTGATTATTTCCATTTTTCTCTCTGGGTGCATTACTTAATGCAAGTCCTCTGGAGTCATCAAACCTTGTTATCTATCTTTTACCTGGTACAGTGAAAGAGTTTTTAGGAAGCTCTTGTTAGGGCTATGAAAAACATAACTGAGAGCCCAGATGAATCAACTTAGTAAAAGTAAATGCCTGAATCAAACGAACAAACAAAAAAGCTGGAGTAGCAATACTTATACCAGACAAAATAGACTTTAAAACACAGGTTATAACATGAGACAAAGAAGGACCCAGTAATCCCACTTCTGGATATTTATCTGAAGAAATCCAAAAATACTACTTCAAAGAGACACGAGAATCCATATGATTATTGAGGCATTATGTACAATAGTCAAGATATGGAGGCAACCTGGCTGCCCATCAATGAATAAATGGATAAAGAATAAGTGGTACATATATACAATGGAATGAATCTCGCCATCTGCAACAACAGGGATGGATCTAGAGGGTATTGTGCTGAGTGGAGTAAGTCAGACAGAAAATGGCAAATACCATATGATTTCACTTATATGTGGAATCTCAAGAACAAAATATACAAACAGAAACAAACTCATAGATACAGAGAACATTTTGATGGCTGCCAGATGGGAGAGGGGTCGGGGGCTGGGTGAAAAACAAAAAAGAATAAAGAAGTACAGATTGGTAGTTACAAAATAGTCATGGGAATGTAAAGTATAGCATAAAGAATATGGTCAATAATATTGAAATAACTGTGTATGATGAGTAATAGATTTATCAGGGTGATTACTTTGTTAAGTTATAGAAATGTTTGATCACTATGTTGTACACCTGAAACTAATATAATATCATATACTAACTGTAATTAAAAAATTTAAAAATTAAAAATTTTTTAAAGTGCCAATTTAAGAAGAGACGGACATTGATTTTTTTATTGTTTTACTACAAGAATGCTTTTTATGAACCATAGGTAAAACAAGCAAAAGAAAATTAAAAGCAGTAGCTTTGGAAATTGGGTTTATTAAGAACTTAGCTAAAAGATAATTATTCCACGTGAGTCTGAGATTTCTTCCATGAAACTATGGAACTCAGAGGGTAGGGCAAAAGGTTGATAGGCTAATTTCATGACAAGCAAGGACTTCTTATGGAAGAGAGGAGTGTACAGCACCCTCTTTGCAAACCAGTGGCCAGATCTCATGAGCACTGGTACAGATGCATGATGATAAAGGTACGATGGTCTTACACCCCAAGAGTTTTGAGTTTGAGGGTTTTTATTGCAAAAAAGTGGAAATCACACGCGATAGCTTTCATTATCCTAAGGCAACAGTAAAACACAGATGTGTGACTCAACTTTCATCTCACATTGGTAAGATTTATTGACCCGAGATCCGGAAGCTGGCAAAAAGCGCCAAGGGCTTCAGGATCGATTTGGAGCATCCTTTAGTACTTATCCAACCCGAATATCACTTTCACTGCACAATAAAGTCCTTCCACGAACAGCCAGTTTACTAATACTTTCTATTTAATGTGTATTCTTACAATGGAAGGAGATAAAACCAAGAGAAAGAAGGAAGTAGACGTGAAGATTATAAAACAGAAGATGAAACTAGAGGAAGAAAAATTTTAGGAGCCTTCCCAAATCTGAAAGTGAAAAAATGAGGAAATACATGCAAACGTACAAATTTTGAACAAACCAAAGAAATGCACCTACAATAAAGGGAGAAACTACCACAAAAGGACACCCACTCTGGGGGACATGCCCAGAACAGGTGAAAGAAGGGGGATTACTAAGTGTCCTCAGTGTGCGTGGACTTTCATGTTGTCTTTTAGTCATTCAAACAGCTGTCTTAGCTAGGCATCATTCCCGCTTTACAGAATAAAAACATAGAAGATGACAGAACAATCATCTCCGCATAGTGACACGAAGAAGCTCTCCACTCATTAAAGATGAGCCTCACCCTGACCGTGACTGTAGGGTAATCGTAGATGGCCAGACTCCAAATGCAAACAATAAAAAGGGTGCTTTATTGATGCCTTGGTCCATTTAATCTGCTATAACAAAACACTATGAAATGGGTGGCTAAAACAAGAAACATTTATTTCTTCTAGTTCTGGAGACTGGGAAGTCCAAGGTTAAGGCATTAGCAGGTTTAGTGTCTGGTGAGATCCCGCTTCCTGGTTCAAATCGCCGTGTCCATATGCGGCAAGAGGGGATAAAGGAGCTCTCTGGGGTCCCTATTATAAGGGCACTAATCCATTCATGGGGCCCTACTCTTACAGCCTAATCACTCCCCAAAGGTCCCACCTCCTAACACCATCGCAATGGGGGTTAAGATTTGGGTTTGGGGTTACATGTGGTTTTGGGGGGCCGCAAACGGTCTATAGTAATTAGGTAACTCCAGACATAGCACAAATGGAGAAAATAATTTGGGGATTTTTCTTACAGGTTTATTTGTTAAAAGTTCCAGAATAAGGAGAAAATCACCAGAAGTTCTCCTATACAGAATATAGGGTGCAGTAAAATTACTGTCATACTTCTAACATTGGACTATGTTTTTATCAGTTAATGCGTG